AAACACAAAAAAGGGCATCAAACGAATGTAAACATTCTTGGCTCTAGGCAGTGCTGCCAGAAAAGATTGAAAAATTGGTGCTCATGGTGGTTGAAGCAACCGGTGGAAACTAACCATTTCAAATTGGCTCACTACTTGACTAGCCTATTTGTCCCTAGCAAATCGATTAACGTACTCCATTCTAGTCGAAATTCTGGTACTACACTATGTTTGTTTTGATTCGCTTTGAAAGTTTGACAGATAAAATGAGGGGATCGTGGATTTTCTTATGTTTCGAGCGGTGCATCGATTAGCTTGGGACCAGATAGTACCAGAGCTGAGCCAAAAAGTTGAGCACGTTTCTCCGGGACCAACGAGCGCCCGTTCTGTGGGACCGCATCGAATTCGATTTTTAAGTCTGTGTTAGGGAATGCGCTGTTTTAAGACATTCGGTGATAATTTTGATCACCATTGCAACAGTTGGACATTTGGTATTTTTCAATAGTGACGTATTGAAAATGAACTAAGTGTTCATTTTAGCAGATTGGTAGATAAATTTCCAATCGTTTGGCTTGTTTAGAATTAAAATCTATCTGCTATTGGTCGAAACCTGACCTCTTTTCGTAATGATGTGCATTTTGGTTTTTTGAAATTGCGTGGATTCTATAGATCCTGTGGAGATCTATCTAGCCCTGATGTATGTGTTGGTAGAGAGAAAAATGTAAACTTTGCGGGAGACGATGTCTTATGTCTTATGGGGATGTCGAGCTGTATGTCGTTTGGAGCGAGGGTGACACGCTTGGCATAGATGACCGACCCGCAGCGACTCACGAAGAGCTACTGATTCCGATCCATAGCATAGCGGTGCAGCTTCTTCCTCCTTTGATGGTTGCTTATGTGGTCTCTGCAGCTCGCTGCTTGCAGGCAGCCTTTCGTTGTTACTGGAGAACAATTTTCAACGCCACACGCCGAAAGCTTTGTTACTGCTGCTACTGCTGCTACTAATTTCGACGACCGAACACCACCACACAGTGGTGTGGTCGTTGGGAGCGTGTGGTTCTGAGTATGGCGATGAGTGTGCAAAATATTACGCAATTCCATCCTCCCTATTCGCACGCGCCCGAGGATCGATGCCACTTCGACTTGTTTCGTCTACTTACTACTCTCTGACGACTGTGCTGGGGAAGCAGCATATGCATGTAGGTAATTGGTGGATTTGTTAGTTAATTCGACGCTTTTGGACAATGCTGTACATTTACAAGTTTTTCAATAGTTTCTTGTTAAAAATCAACATTCGGAAGCATTGTTATCGATGCGTAGCCATATTTCTGATCGATTGGTGATAAAATTATTGAAATTGGACCATGGGCAGCTGAGTTATTAACGTTCAAAATATTTCTTAATTTGTTATATGTTCCATTTTCGGTTTTCACAAAGTGTAACCACATATAGAAATCAAAGACGTATTCCTACGTCAATATCGTCAAGCGTATTTTACATGCACACTAGCAACCTCTACCATGGACATTCCAAGGCATTGGTTTGAAACCGGAGCATCCCTCGTTAATGCATTTTTATCACTAGATGCTTTTCCCTCGTTCTGTCAACACGTCAGCTGTGTTGAATGAAAACAAAGCAGATGAAAGTAAGTGATGCCAGTTCTACGAAATTTTCCGTAGATCTATATAATTGATTGAATTTTGCAGAAATATGGATCCGTAGCAGATATTCACATAATCTCAGTGATTTTTTTTAGGGATTTGTTTTCTTTGCATAGTGTGATTTTTTTTTTGCTGGATATCACTAATTGCATCACTAATGTAGTATCGACGTGGATTGCAGAGAAAGCTTAAGTCACGTCCCAAGCAGTTTTGGAAGTTCGTCAACGAACAACGCCGAGCAACTGTTCTGCCGTCTGCCATAATGGTAACGTGGCCTCATCTACGCAAGATATCTGTCAGCCTCTCTCTGAAATTTTTTCTAGTGTCTTCACGGACGAGAGACTGAGTGACGACCATGCCTGACTGGCTGCCAGTTACGTACCACTCTCTGGCCAAACCATGAGTAGAAATAATATCAATCCCGGGATGTTTTCCAGGGCTTCCTCGAAACTCAAGTCGTCGTACAATCCGGGTCCTGACGGAATTCCATCGACGTTCCTCAAAACGCACTTGGACAGTTTGTTGTCTCCACTGCTGTACGTTTTTCAACGGTCCGTGGACGTTGGCGTTTTCCCATCCTGTTGGAAGCTAACGCACATGTTTGCAGTACACAAGAAAGGCAACAAACAGGACAACTACCGTGGCATCACTTCGCTCAGCACTGTTGCTAATTTGTTCGAACTCGTTGTTATGGAACCGTCACTCGCTAGCTGTAAAGGCCGGCGCACAATGGATAAGTTTTCATGTTTTTTGACAGTTAGCATGCATTATCTTCAAAAAACCCGGAACCTTATACATTGTGCGCCAGCCTTAAGCCGTATATTAGTATCGACCAGCATGGTTTCATGGCTGGTCGTTCCACTGCCACTAACTTGCTGTGCCTTACTTCCTACATCTCTAACAGTATGTCGGATCGTGCTCAGACGGATGTCCTTTATACTGACTGCAAAACTGGACAGGCTAGGTATCCACGGCTGCCTTTTGCTATGGTTTCAGTCGTACCTCACCGATCGCTATCTTACTGTTGTCATTGGTGATCACCAGTCCCGTATGTTCGCTGCCACTTCCGGCATACCCCGGGGTAGTCACCTGGGACCGCTGATTTTCCTGATTTACTTCAACGACGTAAATCTAGTAATTGAGGGACCACGATTAACTTACGCAGACTTTAAACTCTTCCTTCGAATTCACTCAATTAAAGACTGTTGCTTCCTTTAACGTCAGTTGAATGCTTTTGGTGATTGGTGTATTCTGAATCATTTGGAGGCTAACCCGTCCAAATGCTCGGTTCTCTTTTTCGCGCAAGAAAGAGACTATTATGTTCAAGTATGTTGTGTTATGCACTGAAATTGAGCGCGTCAGCCAAATTAAAGACCTAGGTGTGATTCTGGATGCATAATTCTCTTTCAAGCAGCACATCTCTAGGGGTTATCTTCAGGGTTGCCAAAGACTTCACGGATACCTTCTGCCTTTAATCGTTGGACTGCTCATTGTCTCGCTCCAAATTAGAATACTCCTCGGTTGTCTGGACTCTAGAGTCTGTTTATCGACGGTTCCTGAGATAAGCGCTACGTAAACTGTCGTGGACGGATCCCTTCCGATTACCTAGCTAAGAAAGTCGTTTGCAACTGATCGGTCCGAAGAGATACAGCAAGGGCATTGCTAATTGCAGATATTCTGCAAGGTCGCACCGATTGCCCTGTTCTCCTTGAGCAAATTGACATCGGTATTCAACTCTACGGAATAATTCAATGCTGCGCCTGTCCATACAGCGAACTGATTATAGCTTCTTCAGCGCAATCGGTGGTTTACAGAGACTCTTCAATAGGGTCTCCGCACTTTTTGACATTGACCTGACTCGCCAGCTGCTTCGCCGGAGGTTTAGTTCGTTTTTTCTAGATCAGTTTGTAATATTTCTTTTGACGTAGGATAACGTCTTTTGGCAACATATTGGGGGTGCAAATTAAAAAAAAAAAACAAAATTTACCGCGTTACGAAAAGTGGTCAGGTTTTGACCCCTTATAACTCTGTCAATAGTGGATGGATTTTAATTCTGAACAAGCCAATCGATTAACAATTCTTCTAAGAATCTGCTAAAATGAACACTTGATCAATTTTCAATAGGTCACTATTGAAAATAACACAAATTTCCAACTGTTGCAATGGTGATAAAAATGATCACCGATTGCCTGCAAACAGCGCTTTCCCTAACACAGATTTCAAAACCGTATTCCATCCGGTTTCGCCGAACGGTGCTTATTAAATCACCGTGTGTGATGGTGTTCGGTCGGTGGTCATCATCAGCAGCAGCAGTGCAAATGCGTCAAATGCGTCAAGTATTAAAGTGGTACACTAAAATTCTCGCAATGACCGTATATCACATGACCTTGTCAATTAACCTGAAACACTTCGGATTGAGGTAAGGTTTTCGCCAGGACGCTAGAAAGAAAAAAATTAAAAAAATCTAGATTTTCTTCTTAAGGTTAGTATATGGTACGTGTCTCCAGTGAGATGCCTTTTCAAGAGCCGAGCTGACTACTAAATATACCTGAAAAAGAACTGGCATCACTGATAAGTTAGAAATGGTGTGGCTTGCTTAACGCTTCAGTGGCGCCACCATGACAAACGCGAGTACATTTTCAACTAAAACCTTATTTGCGAAGAATGTGGTTATGAGTGTTATGTCAGTTTGTCTGTGCTTAAAGCAAAATAGGATATTTTGTTACGCCTATTTTTATTTGATTTCAATGGTACCAATTTTTATAACAAGAAGAACAGCTATAACATGAATTCCGTGTGTGCTATCTGCTTCTCCTTCCCAGGTTACTGCTCTGTCCAGACCGTTTGTACAAAGCGGTAAAGGAAGAGGCAATGAAAGAGCCAACAAAAACATTCAGTCACTCACGAACAGGCGACTCACACCGCATGCCTTCGCTCACACAGCATGCAATTGAGGCATTTTTCCATAGAAAATGTACGCTCATTTATTCAAAACAAGGATTGGGTACCATCACGGAAGAATAAACGTGTTGATTGAGCTACTGACTGAGTGTTCGGCTGTCAGTGACTCGTTTACTTCTCAATCATTCAGACTCTCATGAGGCAGTGAATGATGAGGCAAATGGCAGTTCATATTCATATGAAAGTGACTCATTGAACCTGACTGTTTTACGCACCACTGGTGCTATCTGCTTCTCCTGTGCACGCGATTATCAATCAGACATCGCGTGCATATTTCCCATACACAACGCAAACTCAATCGATAGCTTATCCGATAATACGCAACCCGCGTTGAGCGTGGTAAATATGTGAATTAAGTACTTACGAACTACTCAAAGCTTCGGGTGAACTGACTTTGAAAAACAAATGACTTTCGCATGTTATTGATATTTATTTCCCCATTTTAACATCAACCACGCGCCTCCACATTATCACTCGCAGCGTCGTCGCAGCTATACATTCGGTTGAGCTTGGTGACGTCGCCGTCGCTCATCCCCGTGCGTTGTCCGATGGTTACGTTTTCGTTCCTCGGTACGATGGTCCGGTTCCCATTGACACTGAAAGCCGTAGCCGAGTAATGCAGCACACTTCCGTAGTCGTATTCTACGTTGAACCCTGTCACAAAACTGGAATTGTACTTTTGGAAGTTGCGCTCCACACCCCGTCTGATATTGTCCCACACAATGGTCACGTATTCATCCCGTTCGGTGGCACTCTGCATGTGGAAGAACCCAAGTGCGTGCAGAAACTCGTGAATGATCGTTCCCAGTCGGAAGCATCCATTGGGCGCCAGGTTCAAATCCTGCACGGAACCTTGGTATCCAACTGCCGAAAAACAACCCACGTCGTCCCCAACGACTCGAACGAAGGCCGTTGCATTTTCGTCGGCTTCGATAAAACTTATGCAGGACACATTGCCGATTGTGTCCAGGGCTCGGTGAATGTGGCCGACGTGCTCTGTTGCTGTAATTTTAGTGGAACAGGAAGCGAACGTTTGATACGTCTGTTAAGCTATTAAATGCTTACTGAAATTGTCCGAAATGATACGGTAGAAAACGGTGTTGTTTGGCCACCGATACCGATCGGCCGACAGTCCATTGCGGAGGCCGGCTAGTGCCATACGTTGTTCCGACGACAGAACGATGTCGCCTTCGAATTTTCCAGCTCGCTGTTCGGCATCGTCGCTGATCACTGGGAGGCCCAATATTTGGTAGGCGCAGAAGGTGACGATTGCACAAAATGTGATTTTGTTCTGAATAAAAGCAGTACCTAGTTGACAAATTGATTGATCAGTTGAAACAGAGCTGTTAGACTTACCATCATCTTGGAACGTAATTACGACAACACGGTTTCTTTTGAGAATGACAACGGTTGACAGATGCTCATCCAGCTTTATATTTACGATTCGGTAATGAAGTGGATATTCAAGTGGGATTACACACTCAGTTGTTGAAGAGCTCGTGAGAGAGAAAGTTTTCGATTACCATCGAAGTCTGGCAATACGTGGATATTTTTATTTGCAATCTAGGTACTTTAACACACGTTTAGATAGGATTAAAATTTATGGTGGCGTTTGCACATATTGAAAATGAAATTAATTTTTAGGAATGTATTAAATTCCAACAAAATAAAATATTCTAAGAACTTTCACAGTTGAACCTTTGCGTCCCTAATGTCTAAATTTGGATAGATTCAAAAATTCAATTAGTTCTAAGAAAAACCATTTGTCAATAATTTACTGCACAGGAAGTAACATTTGGTTACACGAGCAGCTATACATACGTCACATTGGCAATTCATTCCACTACCTCGTTGAAACACGATCTTATCAGATTTTTGAATCCATCAAGAAAATTGTGCCTCATGCAGTGGTATCATAGAGGTAACTCTAAGACCAGAAGGTCCCAAAGATACGTGCTCAACTTTTTGGCTCAGCTCTGGTACTCTCTTCGGTCCCAAGCTAATCGATTCACCCCTCGAAACATAAGAAAAACCAATAACCCCTTATTTTTTCTGTCAAACTTTCATAGTGAATCAAAACAAACATTGCGTAGCACTAGAATTTCGACTAGAATGGGGTACGTTAATCGTTTGCTTGGGACCAATAGGCTAGTCGAGTAGTGAGCCAATTTAAAATCGTTAGTTTCGTATTGATTGTCGGTTTAATCGCGTCGTCAGTAGTGTCGGTCGCTTCGTGTGATGGGAAGACAGCGCTCCCGGAGCAGGCTCCGAGAGAGAACGGAGAAGAAGAACAGCAGTGAGGATAGCTTGAGTGTGCCCATTTTGAATAGGTACGCTACTCTTCCCACCGATGTAGGGAATACAACCTCAGCCACGGTGAAGCGGTTAAAGAAGAGGAAGAAAAATCAAGGCCAATCCGATGGTGCGAGTGGACGGGACGATGCCACCGCGACAAACGTCAGCGTCATTGGTGATTTCGGTGACGCCGTCGACAACGAAACTGCTGCCAGCCCGAGTGCAGCAAAAATGAAGCTTCCTCCACTGGTGGTGAAGCAAGTACCACTCAACACGCTGATTGGCGATCTCTCATCGCTGGGCGTTGCAGCTGAGTTTAAGCTCGGCAGGATCGGCACCAAGGTTATGCTCCGAACGAAAGCGGAGTACGAAGTGGCCGTGAAATACCTGAAGGATACCAAGGCGGAATTCTTCACGCACGACATACCCGGTGAGAAGCCCTTCAAGGTAGTCATCAGGGGTCTACCAAACTTCGACCCCAAGATGGTCGAAGCTGAAATCAACCGGTACAAGCTAGCCCCAATCGCTGTCTTCCGAATGACGTGCCCGAATGAAGTGATGACGTGAAGACTTACCCGGATTGTCTCTTCCTGGTGCACTTCCAGAAAGGGACAGTGACGCTCAATGCGCTGTGTTACCGTTTGTAACATTTTTTGATGTATTTCTGTATGTTTATCGTATTCTGCATGTCCATTTGAATTTAAATAATAATTGCCAGTTTGACAACCTAGTTTTAGTACATTATACAGTACCACAGTTTACTACCAACTGCTGGGATAGGTGATGAGCCAACAATTGGAGTTCAGTGGAAGATAAGAGTACTGAGAAAGGGAACGGCGAGTAGTACAAAAACTTCTTCCACCACTTGCCAAGTAAACTCAAACAAGAGCAGTTACATAAGCTAAAACCCGTTAAAAGTTTATTGAAGAAGAGTAAGAGTGTCGTGGTAGTAGGAGTGGATAGAGAGAGAGAGAGAGTCAGGACCCGTTAGTTGTGAGGGTAACTTTTGGTGGAGAACTGGCCTCTCGACGATACCGAGGTTGGACTCGGGAAGATTAGGATTTGAGTTCCACCCCAAATGGTACCTAGCAGGTCTCCACACACCCTTGAAATCCCCCCCCCCCCCACACACACACCATGTTAAATTACGGAAATAAATGGTAAAATTGTATTTCACCAGCTTCTTTCTACTACACCTTATCCGACCTTGAGACTCAGAAATAGTTCTCCAGCTCTGCTAGCCATTAAAAGAGGTTGTTGTATTAGCCACCCGCCTAGGTGTTTGTCCTGGTAGCCCCCTAGATACCCCACCCTAGCAGCAACAGCTGCAAGTCATCCGATAGATCTACTCCATCATCGTACGGTGGGAGCCATACCGTGGCGGCCATCGTGACGTAACGCAGTGTCAGCGGTGCCTCAATTTTGGACACGGTACCCGCAACTGCAACATCAAGCCACGCTGCAGCAACTGCGCTCAAGAACACGTCACTTCCAACTGCCCTGCGGATGGAGCAGTGGCGATAAAATGCGCTAACTGTGGTGGTGCACATCAAGGTTCCGACAGACAGTGCTCCAAACGCGAGGGCTTCAAACGCATCCGAAACCAGGTGTCAAGCAACAATCAACCAGTACGCAAGAAGGACAAAACCCCAGCATTCAGGACGGAGGATTTTCTGCCTCTTCGTGCTCCCCAGCAAAGACAAGCGAATTCGCGGGTGCAACCCGCCCTCCCCTCAAGTAGCTTCCGGTGATTCTGCTGGCCAAAGCTCTCCATCCCCTCCTGGATTCTGGATACAACCAACAGCGCAAAACAACAACCCCGATATGTTCTCAGCGGATGAACTGATGGAAATTTTCGTCAACATTTCCGGTGCTCTTCGTAAGTGCCGCAATAAGCCCGAACAGATTCAAGTGCTCGGTAAGTTCATCATCCAGTATGGCGTCTAAACCGCTAACTATCGTCACCTGGAATGCTTGCTCTGTAAGAGCAAAAAAGATTGAGCTTGCCGACTTCCTCCGCAAGCACAGCATCAACGTGGGCCTTTTAACCGAGACCCATCTGAAGTCAGGCGACAGCTTCTGGTTGCCTGACCACAACAGGTTGCGGTCGTCGTCAAGAAAGGAATAAAATACCACACTCTGTCCCATATCCGCACCTCTATCATCGAGGCTCTTGGTGTGAAGGTTGAGTCGTCGACTGGATACGTCCAGTTCATCGCCGTCAACTGCCCTCGACAGTGTGTCGCTAGCAGTGGACTAGCGGCTAAATTCAAGAAGGACCTGTCCACCATCACCCGTACCGGTTCCCGCTTCGTAGTTGGAGGAGATCTAAATGCTCGCCATGAGGCCTGGCGGAACTACCAGCAGAACCAGAACGGTCGTCTGCTGTTCGACCACTCACAGCATGGGCTGTACTCTGTTTGGTTTTCGGATGAGCCAACATTTATCTCACCGGCGGGCAACCCATCGACGCTAGACCTGTTCCTGACAAATATCGGCTTGTCCAAGCCGGTAGCCTTGAACGAACTCAGCTCCGACCACCAACCGGTGGTGGCTGAACTGTGCTGCAACGTGGCTCCTGCTTCAAGCCTGCGCAAGGACTATCATCGCGTAAACTGGGCTCAGTTTGGACGCGTGGTAGACAGCCACATCATCGACAACCCGCCGCTTGACACCGTGGAGGACATCGACCGAGCGTTGGAGGGACTCCACCAAGCCATAACCGTGGCTGACGAGGCGTGCGTCCGACGAGTTCCTGTGAGGGGTAAGTTTATTGCCATTGATTCCCACACCCAACTCTTAATTCGCCTGAGAAATGTTCGTAGACGCCAGTTTCAGAGGACTGGAGATCTAGCGAGAAAAAGTGAAATGGCCGATCTGAACAAGGAGATTGCTTCCAGAATGGTCTCACTCCGGAATGAAAGTTTCGGGCGGCTTGTCCGACCGCTCCAGACCATTCTGGAAAGTTTCCAAGGTCTTAAAGACGCACCCTAAACCCATTCCACCACTCAAAGATGAAAATGATGACGATCGGCTCAAAATCACCCCTCAGGAGAAAGCAAATGCGGGTGAGCATATTGCCAAATCGCACTTGCTTGGCTCCAACATCCAAAGTCCGCTCGAAGTTTAGGTTGAGCAATGCGTACTCAATCTTGATTCCTCCCCTTGTGCCATCCCTCCGGAGGATAGAATCACAGTGGAACAGATTTGCTCAGCGCTGAAATGCACCAAAAACATGAAGGCCCCCGGGTTTGACGGAATATTCAACCTAGTGTTGAAAAATCTCAACATGAAGGTTCACTCTCTGCTGGCTGCTGTCTTCAACAGATGCTTGGAACTGCACTACTTCGCAAGTATCTGGAAGACAGCGAAAATCATACCTATCCGCAAACCCGGGAAGGACCCAACGCTAGCTTCTTTTATATCCATTAGTTTCTACTAATACTTTTAACTATAATTTAAAGGAATTCTACAAGATGAGTCGGAGGAATAAAAAACAAGTGTTGTTCGTTCTGCAGTCTACAGAAAACTTCTCTCGAGTGCCAGCTCGCTGTGTTTATTTATTGTTTACAATCATTGCGTTCATTTCAATGATACTCATACAAACATTCATTCTTCGAGTGCTACACAGAATCGTTAGCTTATCGTTTTGAGGGTGGTATACACCATAGTTCTTCTCCCTTAAGATTATCTATTACTTCAAAAATTATAATATTCGAACGTAGACTACGTATTTTAATATTCGTTTTTAATCAATCAGCTCAATAAGGAGATCTTCAAAATCAAAGGCAACTTGATTATTTCTCATGCGCGGTAAGTAAATTTACGGTTCTAGTCCGCCCATTGGCGTTCACAAAAAACACTTTCATGGACATTATTATCGTCTAAAAGGGCACCCCCGTTGGCACAATTGACCTATATAAAAAAAAACGAACTGCTTGGTGTCCATATACGGATGTTTCCGTCCAGCACCGCTTCGAGCATCCTCCATATTCATCAAGTAAGAGATGAACTAGCCTCAGGCTAAAAATCTCTATAATAAAGAAGAAAAAAAAAAAAACATATTCATCAAGCGGGAAAACGATTCACCTTAGCCACAATCCA